CTTTGCCTAACTCTGCACAAGTCTGTAAAATCAGTAAAAAAATATATATTAGATTGTCCGGAAATTAATGTCCGTTTTGAATTTCAACCGCAATAAGTCATACAGTTTTCATTCCTGAACAGCCTACAAGGTACCATTCGATAGTGCAAAGTAAGCTCTACAAGATAGCAATCTTGCTTTAGCAAAGTTCTGATCCACCTCGAGTTTCGACCCAAAAACTAAAAAGATTCAACTACACGAAAAATCGAGAAAAATCATAACTCAGTTCATAAGAGTCCTGCAAAAATTCTAACTTACTCACGTAAACACTATCCACATAAGACATATATGTACGCCGTTGCCGTAATTTTTCCTCTGTCAGAAATCAAGAGAACGAAAATTTTCATGCTTTCGCCAAAGTGATGCTGCGTCGTTCCCACATAAGTGGATGTGTACTACAAATCTGTAGAAGTACAAACGTAAATTTTCAGCTTTCTACAGGCTTTAGTTCTCGAGAAATATCGAATATAGCTTTCATTAGTCAGGTGGCCAAGCTAAAATTCAAATTTCTCGAGAACTAAAGCCTGTAGAGAGCTGGAAAATTTACGTTTGTACTTCTACAGATTTATAGTACACATTTACTTATGTGGGGACGACACAGCATCACTTTGGCAAAAACATCAAAATTTTTGTTTTTTCGATTTCGAACAGAGGAAAAAATATGGCAACGGCGTACATATATGTCTTATATGGATAGTGTTTACGTGAGCAAGTTAGAATTTTTGTAGAATTCTTACGAACTGAGTTATGATTTTTCTCGATTTTTCGGGCAGTTGAATCTTTTTAATTTTTGGGTCGAAACTCAAGATGGATCAGAGCTGTTACTAAAGCAAGATTGCTATCTTGTAGAGCTTGCTTTGCTCTGTCGAATGGTACCTTGAAAGCTATTCAGGAATGAAAAGTGTATGACTTATTGCGGTTGAAATTCAAAACGGACATTAATTTCCGGACAACCTAATATATTCTATTTTGCCCTCTGCTGAAGCGCGCTGGGAAGAAAGTGACTAAAACCAAAGGTTTGGACCAGGCACTAAGCTGCACTACAATGACCGACTCTACTAATTTGACAAAAAAAGATAATGCAATGACCACAATGGTTGTTTAGGCAATATAGGGACAGACATATGCCCGTAGTAAAGCCCCCTCCCCCCATCAGGGCATCTCTCTCGACGCGGACCGGCGTTGATTTTATCGCGCCTCAGTCCAGAATCCGGTGAGCTATTGATCTGGATGCAGATCGCTTCCTAGACATTATCATCAAGTGTGTTTTTGAAAAAGTGATCATTCGACCCGGTTTGGTCAAAAGGGTAAGCGATTCGACTTACACGCGCGCAGCCGTGGTTCGACTCCGTCTAGCGATGATTTTGCTGCATCGCCGGGCAATTTTTGATAGCGGCCACTATCGCAATTGATAATGACCCTATCAAGGATTTCGCCTAGCAAATGCACGGATAAAACACAAACACATTTTGTGACGAAAATTTTACGAAAAAAATGGTTGCAGCGTGAATTTAATAAAATGAACAAATGAGCTCTCGTTTTGGACAGCTCTAAAAAATCAGAAAAGTTTACAAAGAAAAGAAGAATTTGTTTTTTTTGTTTTCCTCGCCGAAGTCAGCTGTTTATCGATCCCCTCCTTTTCGGGCGCGGTTGTGCAGTTTTGCGCCGATTTTGTCTGCAGTGTTAGGCAAAGTGATGTGTATCATAAGTTACTCAGAAGCTTACGAGAGTCTTGTCTGCACATTCACGTTCAGTTAAGCTGAACGTGAACTGATGTGCAAGAGTTGACTGCGGTAGGTGGACAGATGGTCAACTATCAGTTCACTTGCCATGCATATAGCATGGAAAGGTGGGCGGTCATTAGTTCACGTCACCTAAGCTCAACTGATGGGTTAAAGGCACCGTCCACCCAAAGCGAGGTTGATGAGATTTCGGTGGCATATTAGTGTGGGCCTCCACACTAGGCAAACCCCCAAGTAGCGAGGCAAAATACTCCTTCCGAAGCGAGAAATCCGCTCCGGAAGGGACGTAACCGGAGGTGGTCACTCCGCCTACTTTGCAGGCGCGCTGATATTCGCAGGGCGTAATTTGCAAACTAGTCACGGGCAATTATGCAATCGATTAGGAGTATTAGGAAATGGAAAGGGTTTCACTTGTCTGCAAAGCAATTCCATCAAATAATTCAATAACACGTCATGATCAACGTACAGCAATAGCAAGTGAGCTGCGCAGAAATGCATGACAGATTGCGATGATCCAATAGTCATGTAGTAACGACGACAACGATCATTTTGACTACAAATAGTTTTTGAACTTGATGTAACTACATTGCAATGAAAAAAAACTCACGTTCTCTTCGCATATTCATCTTGTTTCATTGACAAAGCGTCAGCTATAAAGAAAGATCATGTTCACATCAAGAAACAACTTTGCCAGATGCTGATGGTAGCTATATTCGGAAAAACAACTTTATCGTAAATTTGGTCATGATTGAATAAAAAACTAACGGTTAAGAATACTAATACACGAAATAACACTAGAAAAACTCCGATTACTCGCCTACGACGAGGCAGTGTACTGCGCTGTGCGTGTAGTAGCTCCAACGGTGCGCCTGCAAAGTGGGCGGAGTTACCACCTCTGGTTACGTCCCTTCCAGAGCGGATTTCTCGCTTCGGAAGGAGTATTTTGCCTCGCTACTTGGGGGTTTGCCTAGTGTGGGGGCCCACACTAGGCAAACCCCCAAGTAGCGCCGCAAAATACTCCTTTCGAAGCGAGAAATCCGCTCCGGAAGGGACGTAAGCGGAGGTGGTCACTCCGCCCATTTTGCAGGCGCGCGATATACGCAGGGCGTCATTTGCAAACTAGTCATGGGCAATTGTGCGATCGATTAGGAGTATTAGGAGATGTTTGCCCCAGTCTTCGATCCAGATTCCGTGTATTTAGCACATTCTTCGTAGTAGGGCTCTGTACTCTGCGTTTTGGGATATCTTACTCTTTTTTTGTTTATTGTGTCAGTGGTGGTCGTTGTTTTTCACATTTCTTCGGTTTATCGCAGTGTCGTCGAACGAGCTACAACTTACCTTTTTTTGCAGTTGCCTGATCAAGAAACAGATATATCGCACTGTTGGATTTCTTGACTGGCACTGTTATTTTAGACGGGGTGTTGATTCCAGCAGCGCTCTGTTCTTCTTACAAGTAAGTGACTTCAAAATCAATGCTTGTTTGAAAGTTGTTTGAATGTTTGAAAGTTATTGGCTTATCGCTCTCGTTCATGGCAGTCAATGACAAAAGTGAGAATTGTGAAGTTGAAAAATGAAGTTGCCAATGATCGCTTTTACAGGTTTGCAAAATATGCAAAGGATTTGCGTTTATTGCAAGGTCAAATCAATAATTTGCGAGGTCGAAGTACTCCAAGGGCTGGTGCAAGAGAATCCAGTATAGCGAACTCGTTTCAACATCGCCAACAACATAAATGGGGTGAGTGGAGGTTATCCTGCTTTCATTTTCTCCAGGACATTATGAATTCATCTTGTTTCCGAATTTACAATCAAGCGTTTGATAATGTGCTTAGCAGATACTCTAGCATATTTTTGACCTCGACATTGAATAGTTTTGCCAGTTATCTCAAATGTGTTGGGGCCGTCTAAGGCCCTGGCCAGACTTCGCATAAAAGGCGCAAAAGCGCCCAAAAGCGTGCAAAAGCGCCGGAACGCCCCCCTCCAGCGTGCATCATCAAGTTAGGCGTGAATAAATGTGCACGTGCGCATCGACGGTGAGCTCACACCAAACACCAAAAATATTTTATTTTACGCCTCCGAACCAAATCTCATTATTTCGCTCAAATCGTCCATTGCTTCCATCGCCGCATATTAGGTGAGTCTTTCATGGCTTTTCTCTTTTTTTGCCTAGTTTTTTTTCGTTCTTCTCCTTTGTAGTCTCACAAACATTTTGAGTACACTACTCCTTCTTTTTTTTGTGTTGAGAATGTTTTTGTTCTGCTACGCTCAAAAATGAGAATTTTTGATTATTGATTTTTCCGTCCATGTTTACGAAACCACCTCATTAACTTTTACTCTTTGTTTAATGTACACATGTACACATTCTGTCTCACATTTTCTTATGAGATAGCTGTACCTTTGCCTCTGTTTGTTGTCACATTCTTGGAGAAATGTGAACCATTCAGTGCGCGAAGGAAAAGTTATCACTATTTTTACTTTTCTCGGATGAGCTGTCATTTTCAGGATGCGCACGTGCACATTTATTCACGCCTAACTTGATGATGCACGCTGGAGGGGGGCGTTCCGGCGCTTTTGCGCGCTTTTGTGCGAAGTCTGGCCAGGGCCTAAGCAAACGGCCATAGGTTGCCGGCAACGGTTGCCGAGGTTGCCGGCATGCCGAAGTTGCTGCGTTGCCGAGGTTGCTGAGATTACCGTCGTTGCCGGTCGTTGTGACCTCATAATAGCCTCCACCTTTTGCGTGCTTTCTAACCCGTCTCTGACCCCGGCAACGTTGGCAATTGGAACCGTTGCCAGCAACCTATGGCCGTTCCCTAAGAAGTATTATTGGTGTGTGAGTAAGGCTGAAAGTATGTTGTTCCTTCTTTGACCTATTCGATCTGGTAATGCATCTATTATAGGTATGGACAGCAAACATATCGAATGTCTTCTTGGAGGAGTATTTGCGTCATCTCCGTCTCTTATCTCGTCATCATATTGGTCTCTAACAGCAATGCTGCTTATGAAACAAGCACTTCGAATCCCGCAGCGGCCTTTAGCCCTCAGAACAATCCCAAAGTCAGGTGTGTCCTTGTTTCTTCTCCTTTTCACGTGTTTATTGTTTTTCTATGTTCCCTACATATTGTGTTTTTTTCTTTTTTTTTCTGTTTTCACGTTATTCTAGTTACATATACACGTATTATTTCACAAGTACGGTACAGAATCTGAATGTACTGTAGTCGTAATCTATTCTATCTCCTCATGCTCCATCTGCTCCTCATCAGCGGGTTGCTCCTCATCTGTGAATTGCTCCTCATCGGTGGATAGCTCCTCATCAGTGGTTTGCTCCTCATCAGCAGGTCGTTGTATGTAGTTTGTCAGGAATTCTATCCAAATTTCTTTGCGCCAGAGGTGTTGGATGGGAGTCTTCCGTTCAATTTTACTTTCCCTTTCACTGAATTTTCGGCGAGCTTTCGTAACCCTCTCTACTACTCGCTCCCCACTCAGTTCCGCTCTCCGAAGGGCGTTTTTATGCAATGTCGCCAGTTTTGCAAATATCGAGTAGGTGGAGGCGGGCCTAAAAAATGGTTTTATTCTGAGCAGGTTCTTCAGTGGTCAACTTACAGGTATATCTCTTTTGGACCATAGATTCTGTCCAGCGAGTTTTTAGACTCGCACTGGCTGGTCCCACCATAGGGACTAGCCAGTTTGATGTCTTTCTGAAATTGCTGTTGGAGGATAACCTCCTTTAGCCTTTCGTGGGCCGGGCTCCCCCACGCAACTATGGCCTTTCCGCGTTCGTCTGGAAGGTCCTCGTGGATGCATTGGGTTATACAGCCCGTTTGCTCGTTCTGTAAAATTTTTTGAGTTTTCCTTTTGGACTTATTAATTAATTCACCTGTCTCCATTGGTGTATGCCTGCGACGTGGTACAGGCAAGTGTTGAAGTGAAACTTCATCATCTCACCGCTGTTTGTTTGTGCACCACGTCGTATGGAGTGGTATAAGTGGGCCTTTATATGGTCCTTCCACTCATGGATTGCTTCGCAATCTTTCCGTTTTTCAACCTGAATGTTGTCTTTCGGAGAATGGTATCATTTCTTCCCAATTCTTACAGCTCGCAAATTTTTGTCCAGATACTTGGATAAATGCCAAGGGTCGACGTGCCACTTGATGTGAGCATCGTACTCTGCGTTGTACGAGTCGACCTCTGTTTTGAGCGCATAGCTCCGGTCGGTTGAGATCGGATGAAGTGGAATGTTCATCGACCTGAACCACCGCAGAATGCGGTGGAATCCGACCTTTTCCATAAGCCCGCTCTTGCCACCTGCAAAAATCTGGATTTTTGAAAAAAATTGTTCCACCTCTGACACCACCTGTTTCTTTACGGTAGACGACTTCGGTATGCACGCAGAGTCCCGTTTGCAAATCTACAGCAAGGACTTTACAAAAGTCCGCACTGTGTCCTCTGCTATCGTAAGCGCCGTCAATCGCGATATTCCATCCTTCGAGCCGTTGGTTCTGAATTTATGTTTTCAGAAAATGTGTGGAGTTTGGTTGGGGGGGGCCGTTATTTCGTTTTCAATTCTTGTTTACCTCGTATGTGCTCTTTATTTCTAGAATAGTCCGGGCTTCGTATCGGTCATAGACTGTCTCAATTGCCGGCCTAATTCTTTTGGAAAACTTGTAGAAGGCCGTGCGGCTGGGCAAGAGCAGGTTCATTTCTTTTGCCCAATGGTTCACCTTCTAAACAGATCAGCATATAAAATCAACGAAAAAGAGTTGGTTTTCTTACAGTCCAGCGGGCCCCTGTTGTTATCGCCGCGGCGCAGGCTAAGCTGGTTCCACTGAAGAGCTTTTCTTTTGGGCCTTCTCCTAGCTTTCCTTGGCCTTCCCATGTTCTTATCTGTGGATTTGGCCCTTTGGTCACATACTCAATCAGTGGTATGGCGCCAGAGTGGTGTATCTTCAGACATACATTTCCAGCTTCACCTTCGCTGCTGCTAAGGTTGAAAAGCTCCAAGAGCTTTCTGCCTTGGACAACAAAGTATTTGTCGAGCAGGGCCGGGTCAGTTTCTTCTAGTTCAAGGCGTGCTTCACTGTCGGATTCAGGCACTTTTCCGGGAGTGAAACAGGAGCCAGTCTGAAATGGAAGTGTAAGCTAGTTCAGCTTAACTTGGAATTCAGCAACCAGCGCAGGAATTCTGACCGTGGTTCTGCCCGACGATCCTGACTCGGCGTGCTTTACTGACGGCGTGGTGAAAACTGTTCTGGACGGGGATACTGCGACAGATTTGGTAGGGGTTTTTGATCCACCCTGTCCAGCTTCTATCATCATTTCAACGTCCATTGAACAACCTACTTCTTCGGCAGATGTTGTTTCCTTTTCTACCTCCTAAAACATAATGATGTGATTAGTTTTATGGCAACGGAGGCAACCTGAAGAAACAGGGATTGGCATGGTTCAGGCATGTGCCAGCCGTCATTCTGGTCGTAGTATTTTCCAACATAGACGTTTAGATAACGGTTAAGATTGGAGATCGTTACCGTGACATCGCCCTGATAAATGTGTTGGGACAGCTTTGAACGTTTTATATCAAACCAATAAGAACTAACTGAGAAAGTTTTTATGGCGTCATTCAGATGTGCTGGGATGTGTTTAGGGATGTCGCCCTCGTTCAGATAGCATACGTTTTCCATCGTAGTAGACAACCTCCCGCCACTTGCCAAGATTTCTTGTAGGAGATATCGCGCCTGATGGTCACACATCCTATTTTTTCACGCGAATACCTACAAACTCACGGCGTCTATGTAATGACGGATGCATATGCAGTGTCTCTTCACGCTGATTGCAGCAAAATCCTTCTCGACGGATTGGTATGAGTTTGATGCGTAAACTTTGAGTGTCGATAGGAGAATTGCTATGTTGATCTGGCTTTTAGCGCGTGATATGATTTGCTCGTCAGCTTTGATCTTGCAAAGAATGCATGTAAGCTTCTTCGTCATTGTTGCAGACTTGTTGTCTAAAATAGCGTAAGTAGATAAAATTCTTAAATATTACATCGCATGCGGACAACAAGCAGACGCCAAGTAAACATGTTGGCTGTTGACATGATACCCATTGAACTTCTCCGATGGGACAAAATCTTTATCTCTTTTTTTCAGGAAATACATCTATGATTGCCTTCACTCATTCTGTTCTTGTCTATCGTTCTACCTTCTTTTGCATCTGTTGTGTTCCACAGCAACGCAGTGTTCCTGAAAGTTGGTCGACATTAGGTGAGCCTCATCTTGCTACTTTTGATATCGTATACTATGAACGGTATTGTTGAGGTATAGAGCGAGCACAGATGACATACATTTGATTTCTTGCTTATACATGTCAGGAAGGTACTGTCGTGTATAGTTTCACGTGGGTTAGCTATTGAGCTGAAGTAGTAGACAAGTGTGCGAAGAAGCAGGTATTCCAAGATTTTTTTTTCATATTTTCCTGTTTGAAACCTTTATTTGACGGTGTATTTTCAAAAAATCCCCTTTAGTTCTTGCTAGCCAGTTTTCGAACTTCATTGTGAACGTATACATCAAGGACTGCGACTCAAAAAATCTGTTAGGAACATCTAAGTTTTATAGATTTCAAAAACACAGCAACTTTCTGCGTTCTTCTTGCTAGTATTGGTGGTGTCTGTAGGTATTTTGATCGATCTCTTTAGTGCATGTCACGTACCAAGAATTTTCAGAAAGGTAGTGAAGATTGCTGTGAAGAACGAAAACCCGGACTTCAGTGCAAGAAGAAGAACAGCTGAATTGAAAATTTTCCTTTTTTCTGCCGCGTTCTGAAGCAGATCTAAAAGATGGCATCGCATCGGGAACTAAGTCGATAATGTCTTTCTTGAAGCTGTTTTCGGTAGTACTACTGCTAAGCCTCTCACCTAGCTCAGTACAACTATCGTTCAACAGTATACTTCAGAATCAAACTGATGTTCCTTTATTCTAGCCATTCGTCTGAATAAACAATTACAAATGAAGTCAAAGATTCTTTGCACAACGTACACATCAGTGTAACAAACACATAGTCAATAGGTTATACGATGAAAGTCATCATTGTATGCCTGCACTTTTTGTCGGTGGGCCAAGCTGATGAGGATTCACTTGTCTGCAAAACAGTTTCATCAAATAATTGAATAACACGTCAAGAAATCAACGTACAGCAATAGCAAGTCACCTGCACAGAAATGCGTGACAGTTTATTGCAATGATCCATTAGTCATGTAGACGGCATCAACGATCATTTGACTACAAATAGTTTCTCAATTTGATGTACATTTCAGTGAAAAAACTCACGTCGCATGTTCATCTCGCTTTATTGAGCACAAGCGTCGTCCATAAAGAAAGATCATGTTGACATCAAGATTACCATCATTGTATGCTTGTACTGAGAGCCATTATTGTATGCCTGCACTTTTTGTCGGGTGAGCCAAGCTGATGAGGATTCACTTGTCTGCAAAACAGTTTCATCAGATAATTGAATAACACGTCAAGATCAACGCACAGCAATAGCAAGTCAGCTGCACAGAAATGCGTGACAGTTTTTTGCAATGATCCATTAGTCATGTAGCAACGGCGAAAACTATGATTTTGACTATCATCTATTTTACGACTAAGAGACGCGAAACCGCATTGCGGACATTGTCAACAAGATTGAGTTTGTTCTTCCGTGTTTCCGAAGATTGAATAAACCTGAATGAGATATATAACAAGTATAAACCTGCTAAAAACACGACCAGGCTTGTTTAGACAAAGTGTGCAATGCGGGCGTCTCCTGGTCACAGAATGAATGATACAAATACTTTTGAATTTGATGTACATTGCAATGAAAAAAAAACTCACGTTCTTTTTGCATGTTCATCTTGTTTCATTTGAGCACAAGCGTCACCTATAAAGAAAGATCATGTTCATATCGAGAAAAACAGCTATGCCATGTTCATGTCAAGAAAAACAGCTATGCCGGATGTGATGATGGCTATAATCGGAAAAACAACTTTGTCATAAATGTGTCAACAATGTGTCAACTCATGTCAACATGTGCCAGTCAAGAAATCCAACAGTGCGAGTTGTAGCTCGTTCGACGACACTGCGATAAACCGAAGAAATGTGAAAAACAACGACCACCACTGACACAATAAACAAAAAAAAGAGTAAGATATCCCAAAACGCAGAGTACAGAGCCCTACTACGAAGAATGTGCTAAATACACGGAATCTGGATCGAAGACTGGGGCAAACATCTCCTAATACTCCTAATCGATCGCACAATTGCCCATAACTAGTTTGCAAATGACGCCCTGCGTATATCGCGCGCCTGCAAAATGGGCGGAGTGACCACCTCCGCTTACGTCCCTTCCGGAGCGGATTTCTCGCTTCGAAAGGAGTATTTTGCGGCGCTACTTGGGGGTTTGCCTAGTGTGGGGGCCCACACTAGTATGCCACCGAAAGCTCATCAAACTCGCTTTGGGTGGACGGTGCCTTTAAGTTCAGCTCACCTGAGCTGATCGAACTTTACTACGGGCCATAGACTTATTCTCCAACTGAGAATTGCGTAGGATGTTAAGCTAGTCACTCTCCTATATGGATGATATTTTTGGGCCTCGTTTCCTTTGGTTACTGAAAGAAATTCCCAAGAAAAGTTATATTTCTCCCACAATTAAAAAGTTTCTTCAGGTTCTGAAAAATCTTATGAGCACACCCTTCTACGCTAAATTAATCATTATGGTATAGTTGCTGGGATATATGATTTTTTGGACGAATCCTTCCCACATTTCCGGTTCTTCAACACACGTGAATGAGTGTCCTTTTTCTTTTGACCACGTTTTCACTTAAGTGTTCATATCAATTGTATATTGTGAAAGCTTCTGATTTCACTTAATCTTCTGTGCCGTACAGGTTTTTAACATTGATACACTTTATTGCCTGACGTTTGAAGTTAAGTGAAGTTATCCTAGAATGCCCAGGTGACAAGAGTGGAGGATTTTCAACATAAGCTTCTGATTTATTCGTGCTTTTACGTTCGCAATTTGTTTAGTATGTCATACTTGCATAGAAAGAATGGGTTTTTACGTATCTATAAATAGAAGATGATACTCAAGCGAAGGATCAAGCACTTGCCGAGATGAGGAGGAAAACAGGGGCATGAGGGAAGAGGGGGGAGGGGGAGGAGATTTGAAGAGTGAGATGTTGGGGAAGTTGCAATCGAAGGTAGGAAGGGCCAGGCCCGAACATGAAACTAGTCTCAATCGTTCAAGAAATAGGCTGCCTGGCCTTTGTAGCTTTGTGCTTGACATTTTTAACCTGCCTCAAGAATCCATAGATTTTCAACAATGGAGTTGGGAGCTCAAACCACATCAAAATTGTTTTTAGAAAAAGAATAAATGAGGAATGAGAAAAAGAGTGAACCCTTCAATGTTGAGGAATTTGGCTCTAAGATCTCAATTCATGATCATCGATTGCTTTAGTAGCATCCAGCCATATGAGTCGCAGAAATTGAGGGCACTCTTGAGAACTGAAAACCTTTCAACACAAGCTGATGCTCCTCAAAATGCTAATAATAAAAAGCACCCTCTACGCTGTAACGTAGAGGGTGGTTCTCATAGCGTGCAAAAGGAGAAGAAAGGTCATTTTTGAAGGACGAACCATTTTCAAGTAATTCCGATTATAGCTATTTCATAAATCATATTTATAATAGTTACCAATTGTGAGATTGAGATTGCAAATCTCATATTTGCATGTTTGTCAAAAATTAAGTCCGTCGAGATTGATGTGATGAAATCAAGCATAAGCTTAGCAAATACATAAGCTTTCCTAGATGAGTGCAAGAATAGCAAGCATCTGCTATCTTATTACGGTGAGTAATGCTTGTTTCTTTCGAGTTTTCCTTGCAAACGATACCAAAGATTTAGGCTCTCCTGACTGTAATTTGCTGTATTGGTGAGTTTTTTTTCCAAGCCTAAGAAGTTGCTAAAACCTCGATGGATTTTTCAGAAGCTTATCCTATCGTTGATGGATGCACGGGAGGTGGTCCAATCTTCAGCACCCAAGAACCATGGCATGGAAAATGGTAACAATAGCAGCAGCATCGCCACCATGTCTAGCAAATTCTTCATTGCCGTCATAAATCATTGATGTGTACTTTCAAATCGAATACGGTGTATAAACGACTGAACTTCTTTTTTTGCTCATGTTTCGGAAGGGTTCGTTGTTTTGTATTTAACAAAAAATAGAGGTAACCGTGCGTCTCCTGAGGAAAACAGATCAGAGGCAATGGGCACAGTGAAAGATGTAAACTGAGTTCAAAAAGATTGACTCATGCGTTGTGGTCATGCGCCAAAACACCGTTTTAGCAACTTACAATGGACTGATCAATCGGCATACTCTTTCCATACCGCATTCAACACACTAAGGCAGAATTGATCTGTTTCAATTCCATACAACCATCTCTGTCCCGTACTGATATGCGCTGTGATAAGCATTCCTCTCTACACTAGCTCCAAGCATCAGAGCTGTTGCAAAAAGCTTATGAATCTGATGGGTGATAGATTACTTTACAAACCTTTTTTGCTAAGGTAACAAGCTCGGTACCTACTCACGTTCCTGTCTCAACTCCCACCACCACAGCTTAAACTTAACAAAAATATGAATTGAATGAAAATCTGTATATCTTGGTTGAATTAAAAGTCTCGACGAGACCGGGTCATCAGCTAGTGATTAATAGTTCGATGGTTATTATTGCATTGTAAACGGCACGTTCACCCAAACCTCAAACGCGATCCCAACGCTTCATTCAAAGTTCACATTGGCCAATAGCGATCTTATGGCAACCCCGATTCCAAGTGTATACTCCAAATTTGCGAAGTACTTTGTTCGAAGCCTAAATACAAACTCACAGGCAGACACATACACACAGACGAAGGAATACAGGGTGACTGGAAAGTATGGGCTTCGCATTCTTATATACGAGTTTTTTTTTTCAAGGAAGAAGTTGTATATAAAATCAATCATTTTTCGCCAAAAATGGAAACATTTAATTGTGTTATCCCTACGAGGTTGCCCCCTGTATAAATTTCAGCAGCTAATCTTGAAGCTAATGCGTCTAAAAATGTTATGTGAAAGACGTATCGGTGCACCCGTGGCTATACTCCGGTTACGGGTCAAATAGATTCTAGTACTCGAGATTTTTTGAAACATAGTCTTAAGAGTAAGGTCGTGCCCTAACAGCAATAATTTATTTCTCCAAAATATTATTAAATCGGTACTGTAAACAAGATAATTGACTGCGGCGCAGTACCCTTTCAGTTCTTTATTCTCAATATAGACACTGTCCATAAGCTACTGGCATATTAACGGTCGTAATAGCATTTCTCCGAAAAAAGATAATTGTAATGCATATACTTACCGGCCACCCTGCAGACGCCAAGTGCATATTACACACTTTAAAGCCTCAGATCAAGCAAAATGCGACTATTACGGTGAAAATGATTGATTTGTCTATGCAGGAAATGTAGTTAAAATAGGTTGTACTAAGCTGTTCACACAGAGCAAGCAGACTTGATCTATACAGTAATTTGCACTTTTTTCCAGATCATGTCTTTTATTCACTAAAAATGCAGTAAATCATGGAACTTCCATACCTTATATATGTAGTAGAGTGACAAAATAGTCAGCAGCGCGAAGTTAGTACAAGAATGTGTAATATAAGACCGTTGTTTGTTCGAACCATATTCAGTTTCATAAAGAGCATGTTGAACATTAACCACAACCATATTACTCTGTCCGGAGAGTGAATTTGAAACATAATTGAGCATAATACACTTTGCATCTACCAGAAATTTACCCAAAATACAGTCTCGAAGTCAGCAAATAAATCAAACACACCAATGCTCTTCTCTGCTAGCTAAGACAGAAACAATGAGAAGCAACTAAGAAACAAGGTATACCAGTTACAGTTCTTCGTGTTCGTTCAACTCTTGATCAAAGAGCGGAACTATAGAAAATTTGGCCTAATATAAACTCAAAACCATAAGATTTTTCAGGTGGTTACAGAGTGCCATGATTTTTTTTACCCCCACGGCTGAATGCACGTAGACTTGAATGAGGGAAATGGGAAAGCGCAATAATGCGAGGAGAAGAAGAATCAGAGCGCTTGCTTACAAGCACGCGATGTTTGTCATTATACCACTGCCGTAATTTTCGATATTCCTTAACTTTTCTACAGAAGTTTATTTTCCTACGAAGACAAGAAATTGCGCTGACAATTTAGTTCAGTAACAGCGAGGGTATGTTCGATGGGAAGAAGACATAAATTTGAAGTGATGAAATTAATGATAACGATTACTCAAGTCACGGCCAATGTCAAAAATTTCAACAGTCTGATGGGATAGCTCCGTCGACTATCCAACAACCGCGGAGTCACATAGTGTTTTGATGTTTGAATAAGGATATGGTCTGAAGCAATAAATAAGTGTAGTTCATTTTGAGTTCGAGGACACCAGGGTACTGTCGGTCGTTATTCGCAGTTCATGTACCCTCCGGACTGTCCATCCCAGCCTAGCACCAGTCCATCGGAATCTATAACTTCTCTAACACAGTCTAAGCCCTTTGGATTGGCGCAACCAGAGAGCCTTCATCTTACCGAGTGGAACTGCTCCCAGGTAGTCATTGCCGTTCGTAGAGGATTTCACAAAGAAGTTCTATAGAGTAAAAATTCTCAGAGGGCTGCCGCAGGACATATTTCAAAGTTACAAGACGAGTTTTCATTGTTCTTCGATCCCGCAGGTGGAACATCGCAGTGGTGCCCGAAAAGTGCTCATGTTCACTATGTATTAACAAGGCTGATAAAATCCGAATACTCAAATCAAGGTTTTTGCGAGGTGCATACTAAACTCATAAACTCAGAACAGCGATTGTAATCCTCATTAGATCTTCAGGCAGTTTCCCCAAACATGTACTCTGATTCTACTTGGGAACCTGATGGACGGTGGAAACACTATCGGGACGAGATATCGAAGTAAACTTCAGCATTCCGTTGCTCAGATTTTTTTAACACAGATAATCTCAAGGCTAGAAACGCAAAGAGAATTTATGCTTACTACTAGCTGTTCTGGACATTGTCTTCTATATGGTCACCAAATTCCTTTATACTCGGAACTTCCTATAAAGCTTGCTGATTTTGGGGTCCTCCACAGGTTAGAGTTCATTTTAAAGTTTTAAACGTTCAATCCTTCTTTTTAGGAGTATCGGAATTTGTAAACCGTTTCGAGTACCCTTCAACTGTTTCTTTGATGAAGACGATTCCCACATATTTTGTAGACCAGACCAAATTACTGATGAAATCAAGGTCGCTCAGAGATTCTTCCTACTATAGACGCATACAAGAGTTTAGGGTTGCTTAGAATTCATCTCTTATTTTTATGAAAAAATACTCAATATGACTATGAAATTTTATGTTGCTATAAAGAATGAATCAAAGGAAACAAATGAGGTTGGGTGCGCTAACAATAATTGAAGGCAAAAGCAGTTGTTTTTGCAGGCATGGAAGAATGCTCAGAAAGCCATTTTGGGTGCCTTTCGAGAATTGGAAATGCCTTATATAATTGATAAAGCTTCTGCCCCTCATTACGGGCCAAAAGTAAGTCCGAAAATGGAAGTTGATGCTATTCTAATGCTTGTAGCAAGAGTGATTTCGTGAATTTCAATCTTTGCTTACTTGTATTGAGAAAAAGATTTGCCAGCAAAGATACACACAATTATCTTTCAATAATTTAGGTTCAAATATTAATGAGAGATAAGCAGGATAGATTTCGTCTATATGCACATCTACAGCTAGATTTTGAACTTCCTGAGCGATTCGATTTAGCGTACATAAGGTAGGTCTCGATTTTCATCCACCACAAAAGTCTCCGATAGTCGACCGTCTAAAGTCACTTTTGAATATTAAATTGCACCCAACTTGGACGAACTGTCTCTTGCTGCTTTTAACTGAATCATATATCGAAACTACCACGTGTCCAGAGTTTACATCAGAAACTCAAATTTGCAAGTTCTCATTGTATCAAAACGACTGCTGCGAAACCAAGTTTCTTTGGTTACTATCTGAAAAATCTTCCTTTCTTTTTTTCATTCAACGAATTTCTTTCATCCAAAGACTTGTCGGTTTGAAAATTGAAAATGGTCGATTGGAAAGAAGGTGTTGCTCGACTTTAACAAGAGGGATGAAACAAAGCGAAATTGCTTGTGATACAAACTGGAATGTTTTAAGATAGCTCATCTTCAAAACATTTATGTTTGAAAACGCAGAACAAAATGGTTTCAGTAACACTCTGTTCTTTGTTCTGTCTGCTCATCTACAGAAGTGCAGAGTTTTTTTTTTCCTGGAAACCTCCACATCTGCATGCAGAAGGGCTCCGAAGACCTTCTTATTACGTTCGATCTGTTCACCTAAAAAATTACATTTCAATTTTGTTTTTCAGGTAGCTATGGACACACGATATCTTGACTGACAAATGATCCTTTTTATATCCTTTTTATCCCAAATCTTACATAAAACACATTTTATGGATTTCGAACATTTTTTAAATTCTCCAGTTTCCAGTGAGGATGGTAGAAAGCTGCGACCGATTTTGATACATCGCTCGATTGTTAACTCTGTGGAGACAATTCTCGCAGTTATCGAATCAGAATATGCCGGTTACTGGCCATTTTGGTTGTCCCCAAACCAGGTAGATTCATCATTTTAACAAGCAATAGAGCAAAGCACTATCTCAAGGTGGTGGTGATTCCCGTCAGTGTTGCCTCCATTCCGTATGCACGAACAGTCGAACAGCGGCTTATCGAAGCTGATATTGAGGTCATAGTTCACAAATTAGCTGAAAACGTAGGAAGAGTTTTAAAAAGTTTCAACGAATTTTAAGGTACATGCTGATCTTAGCTGTGTTGGTTCTCTCAACCGAAGGATCAAGAATGCTATAGTCACTAAGTGTAACTTTATACTAGTTGTGGGGAAGAATGAGGCAGTAAATGGTACAGTCAATGTGCGAACGAGAAACGACACTGTAGGTTGAAAGGAGTCCTAATATTGTGCAAATCGCTTTCTTACATGTAAAAAGCAAAATTCTATAAACTATAAAAATTCGAAGGTTCAATCGAAAAACATCTTGATTTCCGGATGTAAGTGGCTAACACCACGAAGAAAAATTCTGTTGCCCTGCCCCTCCCAAACCTGTGAGATCGCTAGTGACATAATCCTTGATTCGACTGGCTTGGCGACTGGAAGGCGGGGCTTTGTGACCTAATTAAGGCCGCTCGCGCCCGCGACGCATCTGCTTCCCTCCCGCGCGCGTGCTCTCTGACCATTACCTAGGCTAAATTAGGTCACGAAGCCCTGCCTTCCAGTCGCCAAACCAGTTGAATCAAATGGTGGATATAGCAATGTTGACGCTGCTCTTTTAGTTTTTTTTTAATAATTTTTGTTTTATCTTTTTGATTGTTGACTATGCATTGAAAATAGAGATTTTCTAGGTGCCAAATATTCAAATTTTCGAAGAAAAATCGGTTTTTATTTAGGTCCTTGGAGAATTTACTGTCGAAGAAGTGATTGCTCAATTCGAAAAGTTTATTGAAGATTTTAGTGACGATAACCAATGTGCTGCTGCTTTTGACAAACTACAGGATGATGCGGCAGAGAAACTGCTTTGTTGCTAATTTGCTGTTTTTAACAACAAGAAGCATCAATACTACTTAGAAACATCGTATCTTAATTCAGTATTACGCAGTAAAGTTTCTCAACTTGCTGCGTTTGCTATTAACATTTCTTTAAAATGAGTAGGCATTCTCGAGCATTGATGCTTGGTTAAGCTGGATTTTTGTACTTGTCACCAATAAAGGTTTTGGTAGAAATCTCAAAAAAAAAGCAGTAATCGAAGGGTGTCCGAGGTCTTTTTACCTCTCAGTAAGATGCTCCGCTCATTATAAGAAAACTCCAGTAAAAGAGTAGATCTTAAATGAGATCTGCTCAAACAGTGGACTAAATCATTCAAAGAGTAGATTTGAAGATTTTCATCAATGCCTGCTTTGTTGAGGGACTAGTCAGAAAAAACTGATTACACAACTTCTGCATGTACCAAGCAGAGAACGATTAATAATTCAAAAAGTGCATTCCATTTGAGCTTATATGTGGCCGCAAGCGCTTTGAGTTGTTTGTAGAAATACTATATTAAACGGATAAATGATTTCTTTGCGGTAAGTTATGCACCATTACATGGTACTGCATGATAAGCGAGGTGTACCCCCTTGAACTCGAGAAAAATCATTTTTTTTCTTTCGAAAAAATTATCGGTATGAGAAGAACAACTCATAGGAATGTAGATAGGCTTACAAGTTACTTAAATGCTTATTATTCTGTTTCCAAATTTCTTAGGGAAGTTGCTGCAAGACCAGATTCACCATTGACATACAATTAGCAGCCCATGGATTGCTATTGTTCTGTAGTAAAAGCAAATTGAAAGCCGATATCCCCAGATAAAGTAAGAACATACTATAGACGATGAATCACAAGCGCTTTAGCCAAAGTATTTATTCCGACGTCCGAAACTCGAGAACTCGCTTAGCTTAGAAATATGATGAGTTCTGAATTTTTTTGTGAGTAATGGCAGCCTCAGTGTAATCTGCTGTCATTTGTAGTTCCTACAAATGACCTTTTTCTGAAATTCGCTCGATTTCAAATGTTATGTAAAAAACATTCAAAATTAGAAATGTTTCCTTTCCCACTTCTATTATATCCAACGTAAATATGAAGGATTGGATTGCTTAATGAATTCATTTTAATTCAAGGATTCCTTGGTCTTCAACTTCATTATTCCAAAACATTTGACTACATATCTAATGTTATTTTTCATAAAATCTTTTTGACAAAAAAAAACTAAAAGCCACAGGAGAGCTTTTTTTGATGATGTTCACCCTCGCATCCTACGTTCGTGGTCAATATCCGATACGATCGATTTCTGCGTAAATACACTGCACGATCATCGAACACCGACTAGGCGAACTCAATTTTGATGAATTTTTCCCCACTTGGACGAGTTTTTCTTTCGCAATTTTTTGAGAAGCCATCGACCAAAAAATTGTTTTGCATGACATTTTGTAATTGAAATCTTTGCTAGTATAATGCTAATTTCTCGGTTGCGATGTTTACACCTTTCCTTTCCTCGTGCTTTTATTTTCCTGCGAAAATTTTCATACTTTTCTACCCTTTCTTTGGAATCTTGTTCTTCATAGAAAAGTACAATGCTTTTTCTTTTTCCTTTGCCTTACTGTAGATGTGGAACATCGTATATTCTTCGTGATTAGAGAAACAAAAAGGAATGACTCTTGTGTACAGTTGGTTTTTCCGACTGGTCTTTTACGACGCTGTTGTTCGAATCATCTTATCTGTGACGGACTTTGATGCTGAATTTTTATCAACATTGAAACTTAAAGAAAGATTGATGGAGACACCTATGAAAGAAAATCTTGCTACTCTCAAAATTTTCTGAAAATATTCTTAATGCGATATCTTCCCAACGGCTACTTACGCTTTCTATAAAATTGCAATCCGTTCTTCTGTCACGTCTCCTTCTTAACTCCTGTAAACAAAATCTTTCCAATGCACATTATTGAGTTTAATTTGTTCTGCAATTTGAAATATGTGCACAGTTGATGAGTTTTGATGAGTTTATGATTTTTTTTAAATCATGAAGCACAGTTTACCTTGTAGACTGCAATTTTTGGAAATATTTCGAGGCAAGTTTCTGTCAAGATGTTGCAAGAAACTTCTCAATGCTAAAGTGCGGTTCATAATTATACGAACACCCAAAATTTTGTAAGTTTTTGGACTTTTTGGGAGAAACTCAAAAAGCCGTTGGTACCACGCGAAAGAGCACAACCGAAAACAGTATATGATCCATAAGAATGGAAATTGATGTCAATCTTAGGAGTGTTTTTGCGCCTAGTGCGAATTTTTAGCGGTTCATAATTATACGAACACCTCAAACAAAGGTCTATTTCTCATCCGCGAGTGCAGTCATTTAAGTCCAAATTTTTTTGTAGTTACAGTAATAAAGTCCCAAACATCTGCTACACACTGAACCCAGTGAAGTTCAAAAAAAGGACCGTTACTTTTTTCAGAAGACTCTAAATATTTTTGGAGTGATTGGCTCCAAAAACATCCGTTCTTCTGTGGTTTACGCGCTCTAATTAGCTTCTACCAAAGCTATGAGATATAATAAGCTCCTTTGATAGGTATTTTGTTTATCGCTTGGAAAATCTTTGCGTTTTCGTGCCGTTTTTCAACCAAGTTCCATCCCAACCCTAGAGTTAGCACGATTTCGAGCCTCAAAACTCAGCTTCTGTCTTGCGCAAACATTTGATATGAAGCAACTGCATTGCTTGCATGATGATGTTTCTGTGTCAAAGTTTTTGGGTTTTTTGTAGAACTGATCTTGAGGCTGCGGAGCTACAAACCAAATAGAGGTGTGATTGCAATTGTAAAAACAGTGTTTTTGGTGAAATGACGTCTGCGTGGCCAAAACAAACGCTCAACGTTGCTGATTTTTTCTAGCCAAATATACAGTCTTGTGTACTTCTACATACTATATGCTTACTTCATTGTACGCCTTCAGAAGCTGAGTTTTGAGGCTCGAAATCGTGCTAACTCTAGGGTTGGGATGGAACTTGGTTGAAAAACGGCACGAAAACGCGAAGATTCTCCAAGCTTTAAACAAAATACTTATCGAAAGAGCTTATTTTATCTCATAGCTTTGGTAGAAGCTAATTAGAGCGCGTAAACCACAGAAGAACGGATGTTTTTGGAGCGCAGTCACCCCAAAAGCATCTAGAGCCTTCTGAAAAAGTAACGGTCCTCTCTTAAAACTGCACTGGGTTCAGTGTGTAGCAGATATGTCAGACTTTGTCACTGAAACTCTACAAAAAATCTGGACAAAGATGCTTGCAATCTTAAATAAAAAAATGAATCTTCGTTTGAGGTGTTCGTATAATTATGAACCGCTAAAAATTCGCATTAGGCGCAAAAACACTCCTAAGATTGACATCAATTTCCATTCTTATGGATCATATACCGTTTTCGGTTGTGCTCTTTCGCGTGGTACCAACGGCTTTTTGAGTTTCTCCCAAAAAGTCCGAAAACTTGCAAAATTTTGGGTGTTCGTATAATTATGAACCGCACTTTAGAACATCTAAAATAAGCTAACTCTTTAGTTCGCAAAACTGCTCCAGAGGAAAAACTTCTTGCTGCGCGTTATTCGTAAAGGTGTGTATATCTGAAAATCGTACGCCATTTATGTACAACAGTTACTATCATTTGAACATATTTGCTAGATTTGATTTTGAGCTACGAGCTTTGCATCCTTGTCAGATGAAAGCTTCTTTGATCCTTGGTGCACAAAGCTGGTTGTTACAACCGGGAAGCCCTATGGCGAAACACATCACTCATATAACGTTTTCCTAAACGGTGTCCGATAAGCTTGTCTACATTTTGCAGTCGCAATCATCTGTAATGCCCTGATAAGAAAAGTCTACTGCACCTGTTCTATGGCATCACACCATTCGACCAGAGTGAAGATTGTTCTTTAGCCACTGCGGAGTCCAAATCATCATTTAATTGTCCTCTGTATTGATCAATCTTCAATTTCTTATGTACTGATGTACTTATCAGCAGTCGCGGCGACAGCAGAATCATTCTCAGATTGAAGATAGATTTTCTTCCAAATTTTTCAAACCACCCTTTTTTGTTTTATACGCCTAAATTTGCTGAAGCAAATCCAAATGCTTGTGGGCCATTTCTTTCAATTTTTGAGACGATTCATGAGTGATTACTGGTAATCCTTATCTAAAAATTCTATTTTTCATCTAAAAATTACCACAACTCCTCTTTTATGTAACGATCAAATAGTAGAAATAGCTGATTCATCTGCTGAAATTATTCATATAATTGTAAACTTGGTCTCCTCCTCTTCCCGACTTCGTTTGGTTAGAAATGTGTTCCCACGAGTGTGTCTAGTAAGCAGCACTCGAAAGGGTTAAAAAGATGCCCAATTTTTTGCTCTTATATTTTCTAGAAGCAATGTTTGTGCTCACAGCAGTCTTTCATCATAGAAAAATCGTGTTTTATGTTGATAATAATGCAGCTAATCAGATATTGTTTTTTGCTTGGTTTCAGTTGAATTTCTGCTCGCCCCTTATTACCATCTTTCCAAGCCGTAGTGCATAAATCTTGAGTGCATAATCCTAGCACAATTTGTTTCAGGTCTTCGTCCTAACTTGTATGGCATTTGTTATATTAATAAACAAAATATTTTCAGAGGAAATCTGTCCATGAGGTTAGCAGCATATTTGCACGTGAACTATGAAGAAGACGATTTGCTGCCTCTACTTATTGTTGTGTTCAACTTGATTCCAATCACCATCTTCTTGGCAGTACTATCATTCACGATTGTGATAAATTTTGGAATCGCCTTCATAGTAGAAAGTGAGTGCCTACATCATTCCGATTTTCTATGCTTGAGAGGAAGAGGTCCCTGAAGTATTAACACACTCTTTGATTGTTGATAACTCTCTTCCCACAAAGTCTTTCCCTGACTTCAGGTATCGTTCTTTAGAGCTGTAGAGTTTCGGTATGCCGAGAATTACCCATCGCTTCTCATTGCTGTAGGATTACGTTAGGAACTTCCACAGTACAGCGCCATTGCAAAACATGCCGTTAAAGGAAACAAGGTCCCAAGGAACCTGGAAAATGTGTAGCACTGTCTTTAAACGTGCTGATTTTATCAATCATACAATTTTATAAGCTTTCCATGATCTAATCACTTTTTTGAAAACACCGAAGTACAATGGGGTTTACGTGGCACTTTTAAAAAAGTAGCAAGTTAAGTGCTAACGTCATCAATAGTCAGCTCTCAGTTTAGCCTAACGACAAAGTTCTGAGCTTGTCCATTCTGGGGCAAAATGTAGCTATTGATGACTCAAATGCTCTTCAAAGTTCCTACCGTGTTTCTACACTAATGGAGGGCGATGAGGTGATTCGCAGCGTACCGTGAACATAACAGGGGAAGATGTTTAATCGGCGTGGCCTTTTAAGGCGGTAAGCTTGTCGTTTGGAGAACATAAGACGCTGATTCTAAATCTGCCATCGTCATTGCGGAGCATTTCTGAACGAGGAGTTATGGCGTTTATAATAGGCACAAAACTGAATACCCGGCAGAGATGAAAGCAGCTGTGATATTCTTTCTAGCCCTGAAATGGCGCAGTGATGATTGTCAGGGCACCCCAATAAGTACTCTTAGCTCAAACAACCTTCATCCACCGCTGCGTCATTTAAGCTAGAACAATCTTGATGACTGATTTTGCCCTTGTTACTCATTCAATTTTTTGCACTTTCAAATCCTTCATATCTCGTATTCGCAGCGCTCAGCATATAGGAAAGGCATATTTGGAATCAGCTTTTCATGCTTTCTAAAACGGTAGCATTCCATTCTTGTAGGGAACTTCGGCCAAACATCCTTTCCTTGTAAGTTGATTTCTGCTCCACTGAATAGTATTCAAAGCTAAGCAGGCTTTGTGTGGGGCGAGTTTGATTAAAAAGTGTGTACATACTTTTGGAACACCTTGTTCATTAAGTAGTTCCAAATATTCTTTCCGTTTTTCCGACCCATCTTAAAAACACTTGGAATGAAGTCGACAAGCGTTTTAAACGCCATTCGACAGAGAATTCCTTTCTATTTTTCGCATAATACAGATTGTCCCCAAAAAATGTATCGAACGTTTGATCTTTAATAACTTCCCCATGTGGAAAGCTTTCGCGGATCTTTGAGTGTCATACGGTAGAGCTGGTTTCAACTTAGATTTACAGTATAGAGCGAATCACCGATTTATCTTCGTTACTGTAGGATTACGGTAGGAATTTTAAACTAATTTGAAGCTTGCGAGAGGCAAGAACTGCTTCTAAAATTCTAAAAAAACCGAAGGTATATGTAACTGTATCTTCGATACATTTTTTTGGGACACCCTGTATTTGTGAGCTAGGTTATTTTCGTGGTCACTAATATAAATTTTTCGTACTTTTCATTTTGAAATTGTGGAAGAGGTTTGATAATGGAAAGTATTGGTCAAAGTAAACCAAACGCAATGCAAAGTATTTTTTGACAGCCCAGCCGGCTTTTTGGAATTTCATAGTTTTTCGATGCTAAAAAACCTATATTCCTCTAAGAACATAGAGACGAACTCGGATGTCGTTCGTTGCAGCTGTTCTTTTTTCTGATACGCGTTTTATTTACGATTTTCACCTCAAAAAAGCTACGATTATGACGAAATCGTCAAGTCGTTAACTTTTTTAAACGCGTCAATGGCTATACCGGAATTTGATATTTATTCCCGAAGCGACGAAGGTTTATTTGCGTGATAAAATTGATGTCGAGTGGTGAATGATTTTTGGAATAATTGCAGTCTCAGTGCTTTATGGGTTTCGTATCTGGCACGGCTTTTCAAATGGAAATTTACAAGAATTATTTCGAAAATACTAAAAAGCTAGTTGAGGACGCTCAAAATTTTTACTTTGCATTTTGTTTACTGTGTCAACCTCTTATTGTAATGAAATATGAAACTAATAATTGTACTGCCAAGCTTGGGGTTTACGCGATTGTTTTAGTGATCAGACATGACGCTTAAAGGAGAAAGAAAAGGTTTTTGAATAATTTCTAGAATGTTTGCCACTCTTTCCTCCACGTTTTCGTGATAGTTAAAAAATGGGGAAAACTTCTGAAGCAACCTAATACAGTGCTGTCCATAATTATAAAGACACTGTTGGTGCAAAAGTTTTGTCAGTTTTTTCAATCCATTGGCAAACATAGGATGAAGATAAACGAACACTTCAAGAACTATCCGATGCAGAATTTTTTCCTCTTCTCAGCTGCTAGACTCCCGTTGTGTTTCATTGAGAGAATGACGAGATATTTGCCGGAAATTACAACCACACGTTTTTACCATGTCCAACTTTCACTAATTTTCAAAGTTTTTGTATGAGATTTTCGGAGGGGCCCTAATAACCACCAGATAGTGCAAACCTTTTGCCAACAGAAGCAATTTTTCCTTTTTTTTTCAGCTGCTTTTTAGATTTTTGCTGAATAATTTTCTGAAACTCTTGTGTTTTGGAAAATTCGCATAACCTGTTATTGCACCAAACACTGCAAAACCTAAAGAAAACTGAGGTTTCAACACTCGATTATTACTACCGCTACCATTACAAAGTAAATGAGCTATTTTCGCTCTAATTTATGAAGATTTTGAAACTCAGGTTACGTCAGTGCGCACTCATAAAATTGAGAAATACTGCGATTTTCCCCATAAACTTCGTAGAAATTCTAAAAGACAAGGTGTAGGGCTACAAAAAATTTTTCTGTTGGCAAAAGGTCTGCCCTATGTGATGGTTATTAGGGTTCTTCCGAAAGTCTCATACAAAAATTTTGAAAATTAGTGAAAGTTGGACATGGTAAAAACGAGTGGTTGTAATTTCCGGCAAATATCTCGTCATTCTCTCAATGAAACACAACGGCAATTTGGCAGCTGGAAAGGGGAAGAAATTCTGCATTGGATACGCTTTAAAGCGTTTGTTTATCTTTATTCTAGCGTGTTTACCGATGGAACGAAAAAACTGACAAAACTTTTGCACCAAGAGTGTTTTTATAATTATGGCACTGTATTATGAAATCTACTCGCCTTTCTGAATGCGAGTGTCCTTAAGACGATATCTTTGCTGACTCTGGACTTATAAAAAGTGTTTTTTTTCCAAAAACATAGTCTTGTCTATTTTTCGAGTCTGTTCGCGAGCGAAAGCAGTCGAAAATTTTCTAAAGTCTTAACAGTAAAAAAAACACTCCAAACAAGAAAACAGTGCTTCCTTTTTAAAGCTATTGAACAGACTTGAAAGAAACCTTGCATTTAGTGATAGTTAGCATTTTTTATTTTCAAAATTTTTTTTAGCATTACGTCACAATAGACATATCAGACTGCTTGCATAAGTCAGGTATTCCATGATGTTTGTACGTTTAATCCACTAGAAATCGTATGACATAACTCAGATATTGTAAATATCTACCAAGGAATTCTATCTGCCTGTGTTTTGCTACTATTAAAAGGTCTACTCACAAAAAGTTTTAGAATCTGCATTGATATCTGCTATTTAGCCTTTCAAAATCAAACACCTCACTGAACATCTACTGTAGCTCTTCTTCCCCTCTTGCACTATTAACTAGAGAAAATGTTTTAAAAACGCCTATGAAGTTAAGGAATTTTGAGAATGTCTTTCTGTCATGTATATCAAAAGCAATATTTTACAGTACATCTCAGAAAACCAATACAAAACAAAATCAAACAGTCAACTCAAAGAAGTCGAATTTCGTAACTTTTAGCAGAGACATCCAATCACTACCTTTTCTTATTACTAGTTAAAAGAGTATGCCATGAAAAAAAAAACTAGAAAGAAATCCAATTGCTATTAGAGTTTAGCAAATTCAGTGGCCAAAACTCGAAAAATCAATTTTGGATGTTTCTTGCTCAGCTTACATCGTTGCTACGTGCCCTCAAACAATTTTGATTTAAGCACCAGCAGCAAGGTTTTCTCTCGCTGGTTCTGTTTAAGCCGAGGGAAACAACAGATCAAAAATTTTAGTGCAAGAATTATGCATCTAATATTATCGAGCTAGATTTTTCGAGATTTTCCTCCTCTTTCCGCACTCTGGCAGAAGAGGAGGAGAGGAGAATGGTAAAGCATAGGATTACGCGGTTTTCTATGAGCATAGCCATAGCATTACATATAATCTCTCATATCCTGATCATATCATAATTCTCATTCAGGACAATTGACTGCTTCCAGAAACTTATGTTTTCCTACAATCTTTTCGAAACCTTTATTCATTCTTTTGTCTTCGTATTGAATGCAACCACTGCAGTGTTGTCCGGCTAATTCATACTTTTTGAGTCCTTGTTGAAGCAATCACATCAAAGTTTTCCAGTGTTTGATACCTTGTGAAAAAGCACTTTGATAAATTAAACTTCGACTTCTTTCGGGTAGAATCTACTTCCCAATAAAGACGAGGCGCAAAGAAGTGAGATATCCTGAATTTCCCATCATACGCAGATGTGAGCAAATTTCGTTTTTTCAGTTATACAATTTCGAAATGGCAGATCACAACTTTCATAGTCATGCGCTAGATAAAAGAAATTATTTGTATCTGAATACCAAATTGTTCATCTCTACATCCATTACAGCTTGAAAACAAGCTTAAAAAGTCAAAAACTGTTTTTAAAAATTCGAGGTAGTTCTGCTTTGTGATGACATAAAATTCTGATTAGTTGATATATAGTGATAGAAGGTCTAAGCTGCTTTCTCGCAAGGATTCATGGATAAATATTGCAAAAAAGTTTTTGTGAAAGTTTGCATGTGAAAACGAATTCATTTCTCAGCCAATCTAGTGTTTTATCACGGATGTACGGAAGAGAAAACAAATGCTTGTACTGTTTCAGTGATTGCTCTTCTGTTGTGCCTGGCCTGGTTGATTCCATGTGTGATCATTTGCACAGTGTCTGCATTAGTGCTTTGGCAAGCAATCCAAGTAAGTCGATTCATAATCGGCGCCTACATCGATCGGAGCCTCAGTGGAAGTATACCGCCCAACAAAGTGCACTGATATCTAATCATCCTCGCAGATAATGCTCATGCTCGTTTTCACGGCAACTTAACCGATCTCTGTGTCCTGGTTACTTTTTTCTCTCATGTTCTTGTTTCTTTTACTGTGTGTTGATAAATGTTCTTACCTGTACCGATTTGTCTGAATGCTCAGAATAAGTCAATATGAAACTCCTCCAGATAAAACAGGATCTGATAGGAGCCCCAAAAATCCTTTGGACAAAAAAACAGAATCAAAAAATCGAGCAACATGGGGAGAGCGGCGTACTGGTATGAGGTGTCGCTACTCAGACAATCGCAAATGACTTCCGGGGAAAAGCGAAGTTAAAACTCTTGGGGGACACTCCTGTTGAAGATGCCAGGTAGGGCGAGGCCAAGGGCGAGGCCCACCTAATAGGACCGCCCGCTCCGGAAGTTTTAGAAGTTCAGTTTTCCCCGGAAGTCATTTGCGAATGTCTGAACAGAGTATGACCAGTCGGACCAAGGATCGATCTCGCCATGGACAAAGCCCTCTACGGCTCCCGCCAGAGTGCCGAAGTTATGCCAGCGCTACGCCAGCATTTCGATCGATACACGTGTATTTCGTTGGGGCGGGGCTAGCTGACGTCCCCAACGAAAAATGCGTGTATCGATCGAAATGCTGGTGTAGCGCTGGCATAACTTCGGCACTCTGGCGGGAGCCTACCCTCAGAATAAGGTAAATTGGTACCAGAGTAATCTGGGAGGATAAGAGCGCCAACTTGGTAATCGGTTTGTCCTCCGCAAGTCACTGTGATAGGACCGTACGCATTCAGTAGCCTCTTCGACAGTAAAAGTGCTTCAGCGCATGCCCTCAGAGGGTATCAAAGACGCCAAATTTTTATACCTTGTTTCATTTAGGTAGCAATATAACAGTGTTGATGTGAAGAAAAATTGAGGGTTACCCTATTTTCAGGTGTATAAGCCGCATTCTTTTTGCTCTAAACGCGAGCAGACACAGGCGTGCCGCTGCGCATGTGCCTCGCGAAGCGGTCGCTTTCTCGCACATTGCTCTCACCTAACGCGCCCCATCGTGACAGGCAGTCTTTTGACGTGTGCGCCTTTAGAGTGAAAAGGGTGCGGCTTATAACCTGAAAATAGGGTACTATAGAAGCAGCAACCTATGCTCCATATGCTAGACTAGTTGACTTACCCGGCTCCGCCCGGCCCTGTCATTATTATATTCGTAATCAGAATGCTCGATTACCCCCTGTGCCAACTCCCAGCCCCGTAGCTCAAAATTTGCAAAAAATCGATAAAATCGATATCGATCGATGACGAAAAGTAGCCTATGATACCCGCCGGGGCCCGAAGTGTATGTGTGCCAAGTTTGGTCCGGATCGGTTCAGAAATGGAATTTTCTATTCGGAACATACGTACACGCAGACAGACAGACATACAGACAAACAGACATTCAGCTTTATATATAAGAAGATAAAGACATGATTGTAGTAGTAAGACCTACACCTCGCAGTTAGGACTTCGCACAGCTTGGCTCTAGAATATTGCAATTATCAGCCATGACAAGCTCACTCCATGAAAATAATAACATAAACACTAGAGCAGCTTCAGGGTTGGACAACAAAATAATTCTATTTTAGGGAAATGATAGGGACTTTTCACTTTGGTTCTCAGCTAAAGAAAAATGTCTGCTTGTTTGTTTATTTGTCTGTCTGTACTTATGTTTTGAATAGAAATCTTTATTTGTGAGCTTACCGGAACCAAACTTTGCACATACACTACGGGGCGGTACGCGTGCCGTATGCTACTTTTCGTTATCAGCCGATATCGATTTTATCGATTTTTGCAAAGTCTGAGCTACGGAGCTGGCAGGGTATAAGTGAGCATAAATTGCGAAAATGTTATTGACAGGGGCGGGCGGAGCAGGGTTTGCCAGCTATTTACACATTAAAGGTCAGTGATACATGTTCAACGTTTAGAAAAGCCGATGAATTGCTGAGAGATATGGATTTCACTCCAACTTCAATGTTATCTTTCCGTTTTCGCGTAATGAGTATAAAAAATTAACAAGTTAAAAAATTATCCGCATCGGATTCAACATGTGACTTCACTTTTAACGGCTTTTTCTTAGAATGTTTATGCATTGTTCGATCGTCGTTGACATCTCTACTGCTTGAAAGTCATCCATCATCTCTCCAGGTACCATTCCGCAAAGCTGGCTACAAATACATGTATACCTAGGTAGGTTGAAACGTATTTGTCTTTTCTAATATCATGACAGAAACTCTGAAAAGGGTTTTTAGTGATCACTGTAATTTGAATTAGATCGCAAATTTGAGAAATTAAAAACTCTCACAGTAGGCAACTTAGACGTTAACTTTGAATATAAACTTCGCACCAAACCGTAGAGTTTCGGTAGCAAGTATTTTTCTCTTGAGCATGCGATTACCTGATTTAACACGTTGACGACAGCGTACATTTTTAGCTGTCTGCCTTGTGGGACAGTCTCTTCTACAGCAAGTTGATTATTTTTAGCTGAAATCAAGCAGGCGGTAATCTGCAGTATCCCTACAGTGATTTTGAGAAGCAGCTAAGAAACGCGAAAGTAAATCCTAGGAATGAAGCATAACAGAACTTCTAAAACCACAGTCACTGCATGACCCACCATGTGGGTCACATTGTGGTCAATGTGTTAAATAGATTTGAACTCACATGAGCTGCGGAGTTAGAGAGCATGTAAACCGTTTACTCATCTTTCCAGATTTTTTTCGAGCTTTTGTAAATAGGCAGTTAGCTAGCGCACGCCTGATCCACCTCTGGTCTTGGTTAGGGTTTCTGCTCGTCTTTTTTCCTTCGTTGTATTGTGAACTGTTAGAACTGACGGCCCAAAAGACGACAAAGAATCCCGCTTTCGCAATTAGCACGCTATCTTCAAATTGCAAATTATGGTGATAAAGAAAGTGTGTTCTCAAGCTCAAAAGCTTTATTGTCGTTTTCATGTGGGAGAATTGCATATCGTAGCTTTTACAGCTTGATTAGCATTTCTCATCTGTTTTCTCATTTTCATCTCACAAAATCATCTTCGTTTTTGACTTTTGCTTCCGTGATCACGATGTTTACATAAATAAGGAGGATTTTCAACTGTGGTAGCATAACCGCGCCTTGCCTTATGTCAGCATTGAACACTTTGGCTTTGACGATGTCTCATTTGTCAAATGGATCACTTGTCACTCTCCAAGCGGTCATACAACGCATTTCTGCATGGTACAAGCAGTTGCATAGTCTATGGACTACTATCACTGTATGCTGTTTTGCACATAGCCCCTCACGAGAGCACTCAGCAGAGTGGGTTCTTATCAAACATCCTTTGGAAAGATCAAGCTTCTCGACAATGAGTAAACGTGAAAAGATAGTAACTCTGGGGCGGTATCTATCAATCTCCTATAGAGGAAGGGGTTCCTGTGCGGGTCACAGCACTGGCGCCCGCGACACACGAAGCCAAGCTGGTGATCAGGCTCCTGTCTGTGTGAAGATATGGTTCGATCTGGCAAGTTTGGCCATGTTGGGCGTGGCAGGTGCCCGATCGCCTCCAACATGGCCAATCTCCACAGCTCGGGCCCTCCTGCCCGTCTGGGGCACGCGCCCCAAATCCGTAAATCATGGGATGGCGCTCTCTCCTGTCCGGTCAATCGTTAATAATGACCCGAACAGCGAGTGGGAGATAGATAAATATCGCTGGTTTGCCGTGTCATCTGTCATCCACCCTTGTTCTGCCTGAGAAGTTGTGCGCAGTTTTACTGCGATAAAATTAAATGTAAAAAATTTGCGAAATCAAGCACATTATTGCCGTTTTAGCTGACCTTCAGGTACGGGCTATATGTAGTAACTAGGTGCATGTTTTGGTCAAGTATTGAACCAAAAATGTCGCTTTACGGACGAATTTGTGCTTAGGTTCCATTTTTTAGGCAAACTAATGTCTTTAATGGCTTATAACTTCGTCCACAAAAGTGTTAAGCAGATACGTTTATGCCGCATTTGATGTTATGCAGTCTGCTTGAATTGGCCACTTCGACTTTTGACCTTTCCCTTGTAAGATGCAAACTAGCCAGCTCTATCTTTGTTGCCACTTTGGAAGACTTTCGTTGCTCACTATAACCATTGCATACATCTGTTGCTATTTTAAACATAACACGCACAACTGCTCATTTTACGGTAAACTAGTTGGCAAACTCGGCTCCGCCTGGCCTCTCAATAATATATTTGTAATCAGCATGCTCGATTACCCCCTGTGCCAACTCCCAGCTCTGTAGCTCAAATTTTGCAAAAAATCGATAAAATCGATATCGATCGATAACGAAAAGTAGCCTATGACACGCTCCCTGCCCCGAAGTATATGTGTGCCAAGTTTAGTCCAAATCGGTCCAGAAATAAAATTTTCTATTCCGCACATACGTACAGACATACATACATACAGACACACATTCAACTTTATATATAAGATAGATGAACTAACTTACAGTAGTTTCACTCTTGATCAAAAACTACTGAACATGATCAAATCACAACTACAACTTCCCAGTAGAGCAAGTGATGCTCTTCAAAGATGCCTGCTTAAAGGCAGTGGATCGGCAAAATCCAACAACTCGGGATTTCAACGCGGTAGGTCCCTTATCGCTCAATTATGAAAACAGTGCAATCCCGGTTGCACAGCATGCTTTTCCTGCCGAGAAAATCGCTCTCAAACTTGTACGCGCAGGCCAATCTTACACGCATCTGGACGAGTTGGCAATTTCCTTCTTATCATTGGAGGCTGCCCGCCGCAACGCTATAACTATTGGGTCCTGCCACGATTTAGCGTCGTCGGCCTTGCTCCACTCGTCCAAAATCAAAGGGAAAGGCATTAAAAAAACGCTCATTTTCGCCGTTTTCAAGCTTTCAAAAGTGGATTTTCAGGATCAGCGTATTGAAAAACCCCAGGTAAGCGCAAATTTGACTAGGATGAGATTTGCCGAGCCACTGCCTTTAATACGTCGTTTCGTGAACAGAACAAAATCAAGAGCAGCTGATATTTGCTAGACCATATGACATTGCTGTATTTTGCAGAATTACATTATGTGCATGCAAAGATGGAAACTGTGTTAAGATTTTGCGTAGTTTACAAAATCAAATGCACAAATGCATCAAATGCACAATCTATGTTGTTGAACGTCTTTTTTCTATTTTACCTTGGAGCTTGTAATGAATTCGTCACTGCAAAGCAAAGATTGACAGGCTCTTCCGGAAACACAGAGAAAAGGTTAGAGATTGCGAGTGGAGTACGCGCAACACTTGAGTATGTTTTATTTCTTCTTTACAACCAAATGTTTGCTATGAGTTGTTGAGCTGTGCACTGTAATTGATAACTCTTTATTCGACTAATAATCTGCTATTGCCTTCTTTGAAGTCCGAAACTGTAAAATGCATAAGTAAACAACCTAATAAGCCTCTGGAAAGACTCAAAGATCCTGTGTAAAAAAAATAGGAGCTGAAAGGTGTACGCAGGATAAAGCTGGTGCTTAACTACACAGAAACCGACAAATTGCAGTACCAATCTACCAGTATCAAGCACCACGTTAATTATAGACCTAGTGGCTGACCTTATTTTGGAGTTGGGATTCCGCCGGCATAGGTTTATGTTTTGGCAGGTTGTATTCAGGTCCGCTTCAAACCTCCGAGACAAGACAACTTGGATCAAGAAAAATTGCACTACTGAGCATATTGTATGAGAATTAGATGGCTTACTTTCAGTTCCTGTTCAGTATTGGCCTTGAGTTATTTGATTCGCTGCTTCTGTTACATTTCAGCTCACTTGTGGTGTCGAGAATGGTACTGCATCTTGATAGCTTTTGCAGATAGACTGGACAACATGTCTTGCCACACAATCGTCTTTGCCCTTTTTTGCACCTTCGCCATCACACACTGCTCTTCCATGCCCGGAGGAAAAGTAGATCAGAATCCAACAGATAAGAAGTTCATGGTAAATTGCTAGTCAATTCCTAGCTAATACAGCGTCACAAGTGGGCCTTTTAGCAAATAGCGTGGAAAGCTGCAAAAACGCTCAATGAAGATCGCGCTTTGAACCCAGGGCCAAATGCGATGATGCCAATAAAGGTTTCTAGCTTTTGTTTATGTGCTTCAGCTTATTTAGTGCCTCGCAACAAATGAATGATGTAATCGCGGATAATCTCTGAAGTTTTGATGATGTGAGAATTTTGCCTATACGGCTCTTTAACAAGCATATCTCAACAAAAAATTGTGTAAATCTCATTGGAATAATAATTCTGTAATTTCAATCAAGCTAGAGTTTCCTCAATCTTGTTTGCCTTAGACGTTATTTGTTCGCTTTGTTTTATAGGTTCTAAGGGCTCAAAGTCAAGTTGTTGCTGGAGTTATATATAACTTAGAGGTCCTTTATGGTGAATCCGGTTGCAGGCTAGGGGTGAGTTATTATACAAAAAGTACAACATCCGTTGTTATCTCTTCCTTTTCCAATTTCTCCTAACTACTCAAGAACTACTTCCATCCGTATGCATTTATGTTTAATGAGAATTAACTTTGCAGGGGGTTGACCTCAGCAGGTTGCAGTACGCTAATTGCAGAGTGATGAACAATTGGAAAAAAGCTGTTAGTTTCTAGATTCTCCAAATATTTTCTACAAAATCACTTCTAGGTGTACAAGATTCGCTATTACTCCAAGCCCTGGGAGAACTATGAGCAAATTAAAGTATGGAAAGCTTAAGTTTGAAAATGTGTTATTTCATGAACAATCTTTGTGCATCAGCTGATCCAAAGCACTCTACAAATAAACTTGAGGGCGAAGAAGATCTGATGAATTAGTGGTCTGCTCATAGAAACATTATTATTTGAGAAGTATGCTCTGGCAAAAGAGACGCACTCGCCCATCTTTAAACCGATTGTAAGGGCTATATGGAATCAAACGAATGAAACTTTCTTCGGAAGAAGCCTACCAACTTTGTCTTGCGTTGCGTTGCCAAGATAATGATTGAAACCAAGCCTCTGCAAAAGTACAAAGCCTTTACTTACGTAATTTGGATTTAATTTGAACATACTCGACAAAAAAGTTGTTTAGAGGTACTGTTCAGCCTTTGAGGCAGGATCTCCAGAATCGGCTTATCTCAGATATAATACAGTTCAATAGACCCCTTAATTGAAAAAAAATTATATAGGCTCCTAAAATGCGATTTCAAGGTCTCATTATATTCTTGCATTGGTTCCCTTAACCTCTTTATGCTCCCTCACACCTCTCGACGAACTTGCAGGTTGCACCCCACTATCACAGATATGGTGTATATCTATCTGTGATATAAATTTTCACGTTGCCTTCAACCTTATGGGCAGGAACACTCTTCACGCTTAACCGAAATAGGGTTATCGGAACCAGCGTGTTTGGGATTTGCACACAATTTGCACTTAAGATCGGATTCAGGACTATGAAAAGGCTAGAGAATGACAAAAGCATGGAAGTTGAATTTGGCGGGGAGCTGTTTTCAGAATTTGTGTTCTCTGCTGGTTTCCAATCCAAGCTTTAATGCAAATTTGGCAGGTTTGTTTTGGAGTGTCAGTTTTTCTGAATGTGTTTTGCCCAAAAATGTCCGAAAGATGCTCTTCTTAAAAACTCGGCGGCACCACCCTATGTACCCATGACACTAGTCGACAAGCATAGATACATTTTTACTGCTAAAGACTTGTTACATCTGAAAAGCTTAGAACCAGCGTTTACAACACATTAGAACCAAACTCCGATGATAGTCGAGGTCAAGAGTCAGCACAATGAGTTTAGGTTGATTGGGCCTGGTGAACGATGAAAATTTGATTCATCTAAATTCTCGAGCCACCGCATCTTCTTGCTTTGTCACATGAGAGTAGCTTAGCCCCGCACTGTTCCGAAAACAACATTCTTCGCAATTTTAGGTAAGTCGTTACGCGGAGTAAATCCAATTTGTCGAGAAAATTTTAAGCGTAGTTGGACTGCTCACTTTAAAAATTCACTGCGCCTCGTATTCGTGAAATTGGGGCGTAAATATTAGTGACTGAGCATTAGAATGCAGGATTAGCACAGAAATTTTTCGCGGAAGTAGCAATCCAGAGTCTGTGAATAAACCTAGGGCAAGTACCGTCCACGTACTTATGTAACAACAAAACAATGCCGTTATCAATATCTAAATGCAAAAATTCGCGATAAAAACAAGTTCCTTAGAGTGGACATTTGCCGAAATTTATCATATAATCAATGTATACAAAGTTGTATACAAATGATTTCCTTGACTGTAGTGGTTCTGAATGAGGACCTAAGACCGCTCAAAATATCCTTTGTCCACAAAGACGTAAAGCTATGAAGGAAAAATCTGTGTTTGCTAGCCTGTAACTACTGAAGAGACTTTTATAATGAAAGAAAATCATGCATATTTTGTTCGACTTGAAATTCATAAATCATAGACTCCTACATTGCATTCATAATGATTACCACGCCCATGCAAGACACATCAAGGAACGAAAAAGCACATTCGAGGCCACGCACGAAAGTCATAGAAGTACGCTGGTTTTCAAGCAGAGGATTTGATTTTCAAGCAGAGGAGATCTTCTAACTCGAAGCCCTCATTGACTTCTGCGGCATGCTTAAGCAACGGAAAATGGGAAGCAATGAAGTCGCAAAAATTTAGAGCAGGCATCAGCAGCAGCATCTTCAAGTTTGCATCTTAAGCACTGGCTGCCATCTCATATTATCTCTTCACCACTTCTAGAATGTCAGTAATCTCCGTCTCTTCTTCTGGATTCGTTCGCTCGTGGGTAACTACCAAGGTGATTTAGCCCTTATTGCGCTGCGCTACGCGGCAGTCCCTTTCGCCTCTCTACTCCCTCTCTCTCCGTTACATCTCCCCACCATGCTCTAAAAGGCGAAAAGAACGCTAATAGTAAAAAATACATAGTGAAGAGTAAACAGATTATATCGTTTTGTTGCAGTTTCCTCCACTCTCTGTTTGATTTTCTAGCCAACTTTGAAAGGATTGGCTTCAAAAACGGCAATCATGTGCCTAGTTATTGAAAAAACATGTCCAAGAAATTGTCATACTCTGAAAATTGGGGAACTCCAAAAAATTTTAGAAATTAGTTGTAATCATTTTCAGTTTGTGAATGGGCCGGAATTTTTGAAAAACATTAATTTTCTTGGGTGGAAAAAATAGTTCAAAGAAATCTTAACACAGTTGGAAAGTGTAGAGCAACTTGTTTCAAAGATTGTTGGAACACAAGATAATTAACTGTCAGGAAAAGAAGGAAAAGATTTACCTTTTGTTTTGAAATTTTACCGATTTGCTAGTAGCTACCTGATTTACTGATTCGTCATGTTAATATGCATACCTTACAGTTATTTGTAATTCAATTGTACTGGCTGTACCATCAGAACTTGATGCGCAATCTGAGTTTTTATGCGCTTCAGAGTGTGGTGAGAGAATGGCGAGAAATTAGGGCTGCCGTGTAACGCAAAGTAAGTAAGCCTGCGTCGCTCTTCGCTAATTACCACCCGGTGGGAGCTGCAAGCGGCTGTCTGGGTATCAATTGGCCGCCTCTTATTCCCAGTACAGCACTCGGAGTTGTGCTGCACAGTGCGTATGCGCCGCAACCGCCCGCATGCGATATTGTGCGCCAAGGGGGAGAATTTCTAATTTTTGACTTTTTCAACGTTTTCAGTATGATTCTGATCGTATCCGTCTCGTTCGTCATATGTCGCTCTGTCTTTCATATGAAAAAGTCCTAAACGAACGCTGTTCTGTTTTTTGCGTTACCTGAAATCTCAAGAAACAACCGCTCTCATTCGTGTACCGTTGCTTTGCTTGAAGTTTCTTCTCCTCATCAAAAGCGAATCAGTCAGAAATGGAACTTGCAGTATGATTTGTGCAATAAAACGCGATGAAAAGTTTTGGTCTCCGCTACTTGATGATTGTATTATTCCTGTACGAAGACAGCCGGCTATAATGAGGATGCAACAAAATCAAAATACAAAAGGGTTTCCGACAAAAGAATCTGTAGGAGAATGGACGCGCAAGGGCACGACTTTTCATCAATAGGTTTTTGCATAGAAAGACCTAAGCGACCGAACACCACTACAAAACCAACAACAAATAAGAGATCAGAATCAAAACAAACACGGTAAATAAGCACAAAGGTGAAATCTACGAAGGCGAAGATACAGTTTGCCCCAATCCTGACCAAACCAAAATTGGCATGGTGGGAGTCCGTGTCGCGAGTTTATTGCCTCACGTCTACGGCTAGCTATCGTCGATCCGTTGACAGCACGGACTGCTCAAACGCTGCGGACTACGCGCGGCGCGGCTGAAACGTTGCTAGAGCCCGACTTTACAATTTCGATTTTGTATTGGGGCGAGCGTTTTACCTCGCGGCCGTGCTCCGCAGTGATTTCCAGTCCACGCGCTTGACGAATCGACTACAGTTTGCCCTCCTCTATCTCTTCACTTTCTGCGATAGCGCGTATGCAGCTCAAACCCTCATCGCTTCGAGCGCGCAAACTCAGCTGACGGTTCGGCCCGATCCCGATTGGGGCAAACTGTAGTTAGTTTTTGAAAATTGTAGCTAGTTTTTCTCTGTCAAATTCTGCCAATTTGACAGAGAAAAACTATTCTCTACCAAGCCTATCAACATCATCAGTAACTCGCTATACGAAGAGAACGCTTAAACACTTTGATCCTTACATTTCTCTCAGGCCGTTGTAACACAATTTCATCTAAGCCTCCTCTCACTATGAATTCTTTTCTTATGAAAATCTTGAGCTGAGATTGCAACTTTCTGGCAGAATCTAACCTATCAAATCAAAAATACGCATTCTAATGACAGAGGCTCAGACCAAGATTTTTATGAAGGAGCATGTAATCGGGAAAGCTACCGTATAGCTCCTTATGGACATTCCTAGTAAATCTTGAGCTTTTCCTAATGCATGGATGTTTCTGATTCTACATAAATACAGAACAGTTCCGTTCTCCACTAATGGTCTTATTTTGCATTTATAAGCCCGTGAAAAATTGATATCATTTTGTTAATAGTGTTGTAAACAAGTATGAACTAGAAACGTTCCCTTAGCAGCAATACTGACAAATTTTCAACGCTCAATCATTAACCAGAAAACCCAGATCAATTACTTATTCACATACTCAAGAATGTCATGTCCCACCATATAGGAATGGTCAACCGATTTGGATCAAATGGTTGTAGCTTTGATTTCTAACGCAAAAATGTGAAAGAGGCAATCTTCGATCACCTAAACACAAGATGTAAAGCCACCTGCACTATTCTTTATCTCTGAGTTCCAAAACACTGTAGATCTTGGCGTCATCAGCAAAAGCACAACATAAGACTCCATTACCTAATGGTAGGGATCAGTGGCGTACCCAGGATTTCGGTTCAGGGGGGGAGGACAAAAAATTTTTTTCAATGAAGGTGCGTGGCATTAGCCACGCACCCAGAAAAATTTTTTGATACCCTTTTTTATAAGGCTAAATTGAATTTTTAAAAATTTTAAAAAGTTATTTAATTTCTTACAAGATAAATAAGTCTCTTGCACATTTTTACAACTCATATAAGTAATTTTCAAAAATTTCGCGACCCATTCTCTGGGTGGGGGGCGCCACCCCCCCTCGCCCCCCCCCTTGGTACGCCACTGGTAGGGATTCTCATAAGTATTTATTAGGTTATCCCAAAAGTTACACC